GCCTTTGTGCGGGAATCACAGCAGCCCCATCCTGTCTGATCACTGCTCTTGAGTCGGGGGGTGCCCGGGGAGGCAGCGCCCTCCGCTCCCCCAGCCGGAGCACGGCGCGGGATGTCGCACCTTCGCTGCGGTTGGCTGCTTGGCACGTCGTGCATGCGGAGACCTGGGATGTTTAATTCTTTCGTTTTTTTGCCTTCCTGCCTTGGCAGAAGCGGCCTGTGGGGGGGGCTGGAGCCCCACAGCAGCCAAGGGACCCGAAATTCCTTGCTGTGCGCACGCAGCTTCGGTTGCAACTGGGGGAGCTTTCTGCAGAGGTGTTTGAATTGCAGAGGAGGGAAGAGGCACGCGCGTCCCGGGAGGGGTTGAATGCACGTAGAAGTTTATAGAGTAAGTTGGAGCTGCTCTCACGTTGAAACGAATAGTGGTGCTGTTCATGGGATCTCCCAGATCACCAACAGCCTCGTGGAAGTCAGACAGAGCCGTGTTACCCGTGTGGTCCTAACGCGACAGGGGACAGTTGGCTGTCCACCTCGGGGGTTTCGGGTCCCCTTCTCCCTGTCCTCGTGACCGTTGCCGACGTGGAACGTGTATGGACGCGGCAGCGTTTGTCCCCCGGTTGCTGCTGGAGAAAGGTCAGCTGTGGAACCGAGGTGGCATAAAACCAGAAGTGGACAGTTGGCTCATGACACGTTTCTGGGCCAGGGGAGGAGGGAGGCTGTGTGAGCGGTGGGCACTGGGTTTGTTACAGCGATCACAGTCGGAGCTCCCATGTTTGCCATGGTGGAAAAAAAAATATAAAATTCTTGGTGGCAGGTGGGAAAGTCACTCCACAGAATTCTGAATATTACACATTTAAAACCAGTGGTTAGCCAGCATGGGAGGATAAGTAGGCCAGATTGTTGTGTTGTACATCACAGGAGTCAGTGGAGTTAAATTCAGCCCATCATATGTTAAGGATCTTGAAATCAAGGCAATATAAAGGTAAAAAAAATGTAGATGGGAGGAACAGTATTTGGGGATCTTGGGTTTGGGGGTTTTTTTGGGTGTGGGGTGGTATTTGGGGATCTTGGGTTTGGAGGTTTTTTTTGGGTGTGGGGTTTGGTTTTTTTTTTTGTTGCACTTCTGTGAAGGTTCTATCTACTTCTATCAATTCCCCAAAACGTAGCTTTAGCCTGAGCCTTAGAGCAGTTTTATTTTAAAGGCTTTCTTTTTAAGATTTATTTTAACATTTGCATGGGGGAGGTTTTTCAGAACACGTACTACAACAGACCTTGAGTTCCAGCTGTTCTGGTGTTCTGATGACATTTGGTTTCTTTTGGGTGAAGGAGATTTGTTTCACAGTAACTGTCCGTATTTTTCTCTCTTTTATTGGTACATATTTTGCACATACTTATACACCAAATTTTATGTGGTTTTTCTGTTCTTTACACAGTCATGTATTTTATTTTATTTTTGATCACGTAAACAGAGGGTTCGATGGGATTTAATTATTCATGTATTGCATGTGTCCATTTAGATATATCCAGCATCTTACAGTAAAGTAATATGAAATTATATACGAAATTATTTTACTAGAATTTCTTGATCTCACTTTCATTTACCTAATGAAGGAAAAGCAACTGTTCTGCAAAATTTCTCTTACATACAAATGAGCCTTCTTCTGGAAAAAATGTGCTTAAGATATAATGAGTGATGGGAAGATACACAAGCCAAAGCAGGACAGCGGAAAAAAAAATTAAAAGTAATCTTAAAAATCTCAGGTATTGATGAAGACCTGCTGGATAACATTCAGATTGCTTATTCATCCTGGTAACTACTTCTTCCTTTTTGTTTATCCATTTCACTTAATGATTTTCTGTGTATTGTTACAGACATCTCAACAGTGAGCATGCGCTGGATGATAGAAGTACAGCCCAATGTAGAGTACAAATGCAGGTTGTACAGCAGTTAGAGCTACAGGTAAAATAAAATTTATTTTAATATTACCTCAGTATTAATCAAATCCAATTCTCGACAGCATTAAAAAATGAGTTCTGCTTTTCCCCCTATGATTGAAAACCAGCTTTCAAAACCTTCTTGTAGTAGTTTTAAAAACCGTCAAAAGAAACTGCAGCTTCATTTCCTCTTTTCTAAACCGTAACTTGAAAAGAAATAGGAAACTTAACCAGGCTGACTGATTGGAAATCCATCACTATGTTTCTAATGGTTTTTATACTCACCCAGGGGGGCGGAGGGGGGGGCAAGTGGAATACGGTCCCCTTCATTTAGAGCTGTTGATACACGGGGGAAATGGTTGATGTGTATTTCAAAACGCTGCATGACCTGGCTTGTTTGGTGGTCTCTCATATACTAACACTCTCCATGTATTATTATTATTACTATTATTTTTTTGCCATTTGTAGCAAATGAGTTTTTTAAAAGTGCCAAAAGGGGGTAAATTGGAATATATTGAATGCGATGCAAAGGTATGACCTGTTTGTGCAACTGCCTTTCCAAATGCTTTTTAAAAAAAACTGCACCTCGCTGCTCTAGCTGGGCAGCTTTGCCAGTGTGTCTGTGTGTAGGCAAGAGGTTAGCAAAGAAGGGGACATTAAAACAATGTTGTACATTACATAGTTACCAGCTATTGAAAAACCTATTTTGTATGCAAGACAGCAGAGTAGAGATATATGGAAAGCCTTGGGCTAAGTACAGAAGATAATTACATTTGGAATTTTACTGAGTTAAGTCATTTATAGAGCTTTGCCAGTGTGTCTGTGTGTAGGCAAGAGGTTAGCAAAGAAGGGGACATTAAAACAATGTTGTACATTACATAGTTACCAGCTATTGAAAAACCTATTTTGTATGCAAGACAGCAGAGTAGAGATATATGGAAAGCCTTGGGCTAAGTACAGAAGATAATTACATTTGGAATTTTACTGAGTTAAGTCATTTATAGCTTCAAATAGTTGGAGAGAAAAATCAGCAAAAACACACTTAAACTTCTTGTTGTTACTTTTTAAGATAAGCATTTAAAAAAATGCCTTTTATCTTCTTATCTTACAAATTACCCTTTTTCTTTCATAGATATTTCCTAAATTTTTCTTTCAGGAACACACTGGTCATGACATTCTTTCACTATTAGCTGAAGCAATAGTGACTGTTTTAATACAAGTTTTATAAAAATCAAACTACCAGTCATAAAATATCAGAGTCTTGCAGAAAATGTTATGAGGAATGGTCTGTTATTTTAACAAGTTTCTTGGGAATTAGAAAAGAAACATCTGCAGTCTTCCTGGTAAACTGAGATACGAGATAATCTTTTACCAGGATGCAGTAATATTCAGGCTGCAGGTAAACCTAGATTCTTCAGTCAGCTCAGAAAGCATTAATCCTGTTCTCCTGCAGTCGCTGGGAATGGTTGCGCCTGCAGCTGCAGGAGGATGCCCTGTGTTAATGGTCGGACAGAGATGATATACTTGGGTACCACCTCTCCATAAGCCCTTGACAATTATTTTTGAAAGATTTATCAGTGCTGCATTCTACTAATTGTCATAAGTGACTAACAGTTACAGCTTCACACCCATTTAGCGCTGGGGAATGCCTCTTAGCTTAGAGTCATTGCATGGGAAGGCACCATAAGGTCCCCAGGACAAGAACATAATTTCAGAGTGGTGTGAGGGCCAAAAAGTTCTGGATTGTTTTTAGCCGTTGTACTAGCACAGTAGATAGGATGGTCTGGAGGCTTAATTTAGACAGGGATGTTGATAACAGAGTGGGACCATCTGTGCATTGGCCATCAAGAATAGGTGGAGGAGGAGGGTGGTCCTGCTTCTGAGATGCGCCTGTTACTCCCCTCTTCTCCCTCTGTTTTCATCCTAAATACATACAAGGATTTATTCTCCCAGACCTAGTTTGTCTGACTGTGACCTGGCTTTGCAGAGAACCACACTAAAACAAAAGCCTGGCCCGTAGCAGGGTTGTCAGTGGCGTGGTGTGCAGCACCCAGCATGTTGCAGCAGGAGCAGTTGGACTAAGACCATTGACCGGATGCTCCTGCAGTGGAGCAGTTACCAAGTGCCGACAACACGCCCTACAGCCAACTGAGTTTTGGGAGCTAGCTAGCAGAGGGACCCACAGCCTTTCCCTCTTGACCCGCGGTGCTCAGCACTGACGACAAGCTTTGCCTTCCAGCGGAGCTGACACAGATCACGTGCTGTTCAGGGTCCAACGCCATGGCACGATCTAGATGCATCACCATTTCATGCATGTGCAGCCCCAGCAAGATGGGTAGAAGTTAACAAATTCATTCCACCTGAGGGGTTTGGGTGTGATTGACCCAAATGCAAGTCTTTCTTCGTTTTCTTTATGCTCCTACTTATTTTATGCACAATAGTTTCATCAGTGTCGTAGACAGAGATGAGTGTAATGTCTTTCAAAGAAAGTATTTTTTAAATGAACTTTTTGAAAAAAACAGGTCAGATCTGTTTTGTGTTGGCTTGCAAATGCCCCTTTGCAGAAGCATCTCGAAGCTTTGGTCTCAGCATTTCCATCACAAACATACTTAAAATATCACAGACAAGGTGGACATCTTCTCATATTTCACTTTGTTTAAACCATCTTGACGTGATCATTTGTTGCCATTATAAATAGTGAGAATTGGGCTGCTGGGTAATACACAAACACAGGAAGATATCCCTATCCTTAGCTAATTCTTCGCTGGAATAGGACGTCCATTTTGCAGCACCACCTTGGAGTGGAAAAACATTTCAGGACAGCAGCAAGGTTATGATAAGTTTAAAAAAGGATCTCCTCACGGGAGAAAATGAAGGCAACTGGACACTTTCAGCGTACTGAAAACACTGCTTGGGCCTGTTTTCCTAAAGCATCCATTGACACTCTTGAAAAGTGGATCCTACACCTGCACAGCCAACTAGGCACGTAATGGGAGGGAAGAGGCTATGTCTTGGTTGTCTCTTGCCCATGACTGGCTTCCTTCCTTGGTCTGTCCAAGATCCTGCTGCTGAAGTGATCTTCCCTTCCTGTTGATATGGCCATGTTGCTCCTGTTGAATGTCCTTGCTGGGTTTCCATTTTCATGTTCCTGCTCCTTGTCGTTTATTGTCTCTCTGGTTTTCCTCCTGTGCAGTTTCTCCATCATCTGTGCCTAATGCCTTCTCTATTGCTCCTTGGTCGCCAGGCTTCTGTGCTGCCCCCTCACCTTCAGCCCCTCTGGCCTGTGCTTTCTGTGCCTCCCCTCTCCTGCCTTTCCCACCTTGTGTAGCTTTAGGATTTAACCCTCCGGGGCAAGGCGTGTGTCTTGGTGTCCAGGTTTGCAAAGCACATACCTTGCTCCGGGTGTGTTTGCTGTTGAACCCCAGTTAGGCACTTACGTCATGGTTGTACCCCACAGAGGTGAGGGAAGCCTCCCAGAATCAGGCTTACCATGAAGAACCGGGTGGCTGTCTGAGAACTTCCACCCTGGAGAGCTTTCCAAGTGGATACAGGAAAAAAGCATGAGTCTTCAGATGGGACTGAGACCCCCTGTAACAGAGCAGATCCTTTCGTGCATGGCAGAGCAGCCCGTGCCCAAGAATGCTCTCAGTAGATCAGGAGCATTTTCCAGCATGTCTGCTAATAATCCCCATTTCTGGACCATCTGCACTCCAGCGAGTGCTACCGGTGCGAATTTTCTCCCAGCAGCGGCCAAGCAAGCCCTCGTGGCTTCTTTTGTATGACCCCACTGACCGGCGGGGCTACTAGGGGCATTCTAGTTTTATATCACTACTGCTTCCTGACCTAAGGGAAAAACAGTTTAAAGAAATTCTTCAGATTTTTTACTTCTCTTCAGTGCTTTGAAACTGAGAGACCTCTATTTTTCATAATTTAAACTCCTGCCTAAACTGGGTGAGTGTTTGAATTCCTAGACTATGACAAAATGCTAGCGTGTGTCTGCCTGAAATGTCGAGAGGATCTTTAATAACCTCCATCTACCAGCAACAGCGTTAAAAGCATTGCTAAGATGACGGGTGAAAACACCACAGACGAGGACCCCGGCCGTTCGGAGGGAGGTGCAGGGCTCCGTTTCGCCGGGGGGGCCCGGAGGAAGCACAGCAGGGTGTGCCCCGTGCTGCCCGGGTGCCTTTTCCTCTTGCCGCCGTGCCGGTGCAGGCAGGAAGCTTTCAGGTGCCTGCCTTTTATTTATTTTGGCTAGAAGGAGTTGTTCTGCAGTAGCCTGCGGACCAAAACTTCATGTGCAGATGACCCTGCCAAGCAGCCTCTGCGCCCGGCCGCGGCCGGGAGGGAGGGATTGCGCAGCAGAGCTGGGCTGAGAGCGCAACTGCTTCTCGGATTTAATTCGTTCTGTGCGAAGCACGGCAGCTGACGGGTGAGACCTCTCCTTTTTCTGAAGAGGTCCTCGGAGGACTCAGAGGGAGACGTTTCTGCTGCAGCGCCACGAGAAGAGCCCGTCGCTGCCCTTCGGCTCTTCCGTGAAGCCTGGCGCAGATCTGGTGATGAGATTGCAGATCTGCTGTAGGTGTCAGGTTTTCTCACTTGCCATGGAGATTTTTCGACCAAGGAAAGAGCAACGGTTTGAAAAGCCCAACTATTTTTGCTTTTGCGCTTCCAGAGCACACAGTGGTGACACCGTTTTTTCCTTTATTTAATTCCTGTCATGGAAACCCATGTGCCAACTTTTAGCCCATCGTGATGCCTTTCTGGCATGGTCAGAAACCCCTCGCCTTGCGAAGAGCAAGGCACCCTTGGCTGTAAGGTTACGAATGGGGATTTATGACCGAGTCTCCTTTTATATACACTTAGCCCAACTTTACTGCTACAAACAGATGATGGTGATAAGGTGGGCAGGTTGTTTAAAGTTTTGCTGGAATGTGAGTGCAGTTCTCCACTTGGCACCAGGAATCTGGCTTGTCTAAAGCAAAAACTCAGCTTTGCAAAAACTGTCATTTTTAGAACCTGCTCCAATTCCTGATGGAAACAGGAACCTTTATGTTGGGCATGTAGGTTAGTAACACCCCTTTTCCTTTAGTGTTACTTCTTAATACTTTTCCACTGTTTTGGTTTTTTTTTTGTTGTTGTTGGGGTTTTATTTGGAGTAGCAGGAAAAAGTCCTATTTGCACTTTACAAAAAATTCCTTATTTCCCAAAACAATGAGATTTAATATCTGCCCAGTGCATTGAAATGCATTGGGAAGGGCATGTAGGTTAGTAACACCCCTTTTCCTTTAGTGTTACTTCTTAATACTTTTCCACTGTTTTGGTTTTTTTTTTGTTGTTGTTGGGGTTTTATTTGGAGTAGCAGGAAAAAGTCCTATTTGCACTTTACAAAAAATTCCTTATTTCCCAAAACAATGAGATTTAATATCTGCCCAGTGCATTGAAATGCATTGGGAAGCCATCCTGGCCAAGGGTGCGTATGGTGGGATCCTGAGACACCAGCTGTGGCCTGGTACAGATCTCCACCAAAAAATGCAGGAGACATCCAGAGCAGGAGCTTTGCCCCAACGCTTGGGCATGATGTAACCGATGAGAAAGGGTGAAAGCATTGGTCCCATGGCGTTGGGTGCTCCAGGGCAGTTCCCAACATCGTTAGCCTTTCCCACGCCTCTGCCCCTCGGCGTATGCCAAAGGGGTGCTGCTCCTGCCCCACGCTCAGGGTGCGCCTATTCAGGCTTCTGGGTGGGCAGCCCAGGGTGACCCGCCGAGGGGCTGTGCCACCATCTCAAGTAAAAGCAAGGTGCTTCCTAGAGCCCCGCGGAGGTGCCTCGTGTGGTCTAACCACCGCTGTCTCTGCGCTCGCTGCACATGCCACAAAGCCTTCACCTGATGCAGAAGCCACGGTCCAGCTGTGCCGCTGGGTTTCTGGTCTGCAAGGAGGCAAATGGCTCTCAGAGCTGCTGCCTCGCTTGCTTTCTGCTACGCCTCCCGAACTGGAGCGGGGCTGGTTAATAAACATGATTCACTGTTGTCTTCTAGCTGTCAGGGCTAGAGTGAAGCTCTTGGTGCCGGCAGGTCTACCTCTTCTCACTCGAGGGCTAATGCATTTTGCTTTGGGAAATAGTGACACCCAGCACCACGCGTTAGCTTTACCTCACAAATAGGCCATATACAATTTCCAAACTACTCAGCAATAAAACTCTTCTGTCTCATGCCTCGGTGCCAGCTGTTCAATTAGGAATAAGCAGAGCCTGGGTTTTATTCGTACGAGTAACAGAGGATATTTCTTTTTCCCCCTTTCAGCTTGCAAAAGACAAAGAGCGCCTGCAAGCCATGATGACACACCTGCACGTGAAGTCAACTGAACCAAAAGCCACCCCTCAGCCCGTAAGTACCGAAATGTGCTGAAAGCAAACAAAACCTCACGACAAACCCCTCTTTCGTGTCGCTCGCCGGAGCACGTGATGTGCAGCCTGGCCCGCTTCGGAGCCAGTCGCGGTGAGGAGATGCAAAGCGCTGCTTTGCGGGAGGCACCACCACGGGCACCTGGGTTTCGTCGGCCCCCTCTCTTCAGGGAGTTTGAAAGAAGTTTTGCTCTAAAGCTGATGCATTGGGCCTTTGGCCTCACCTATCAGCCTGTAAGGAAATCTTAGGAAGTGTTAGGAAGGAGATGTAATTAAATTATATTCAGTATATTTATTTTGCTTTCTCCCCGTCTGACAGGCATTTACAGTAGAAGAGACTCTAGCTGCATGTTTTGATGATAATCGTGGTTAACCAGTATCGGGTTTTACACTGTTGAAACTGAGAAGGGAAACCTTCTCTGCCTTAGGTTGCCCTTTAATAAAAGGGCGTGTGTTGCAGCCCAAGGCAGCTCCTGGGTACCTCCAAACCCAGGCGAATGTACCATCTCAGGGCCTGACCTAAATGACTCTTCTTCAGCCATCGTTTCCCTCCAACCTCTTTAACACTGAAAATGTTCCTCAGAGCTTCCATGATTATTCAAAATGGAGAGAGTGCTTTGCTTCTTGATTTTAAGATTTGTAAGATTTAAGGGTACACTGGCTTTATTTGATTTTGCTTTGAGTCATTGTGTGAAAATTAATTGAGCGTTGACAATCTATAGTTAGTACTAGCAATTTTAATCAATATGCAATGATGCAGCATAATGACAAAGTATTGGTTTATCTGTTTTGACTGATTTTTTTTCTATAAATAAAGCAAACACACACCCATATATGTGTGATTTATGGTGATAGAAATAAAAAGGAGTCAGACTATTAACCCAGCAAATATGGTAGCCTGCCAAGATGCAGTTGGTAGACAAAATTAATGTCTGAAACAGAACACATTACAGAGATAGAGAACATAAAATCATTAAACACTTCGCGCACCCATTTTTACTAGAAGAGGATTTCTCAGTTTCCACGTAGTTGGAAATAAATGGCTGCAGAAGTGCATAGGGAGGCTACTAGACAGAAAATTGCAGGCTATTCAGCAACACTGGAGCAGATGTCAAAGTCAACGGGAAATTTCGGTGCCGCCTTGGAGGGAGTTGAGTGGTAGGTATAAACCCTTCCATTTAAGCTGTTGAGATGCCGAAAATTGCTTGATCCGGTGGATACCAGCCCTCTCGAGTAGAAACTACTTACACTGTCTATAAAAATAGCATTCCTCTAGTTCCTCGCATCCATCTCAGCCTGAATGCAAATGCCTCAGCGCGTTGTTGGCAAAGCGTGTAGACCCAACAGAATGGGGAGGAGGTTTGGTTTCCATAGCTCTTACTGGATTAAAAATTAAAACAGCGCAATAATCTGGGAGTCTCAAAGCACTCTGCCTTGAGGCCTTTCATAACAGCAGTGCCCCTCAGGAGGAAGGATTAAAAACCAAAGGGAGGAAATCATAAGAAGGCGAGCGGCGTTTGGCGAGGCAGCTCGTGATCGATGCTCAGCCGCGGAGGGCAGGAAGCCTTCGCGGGTGTTGTAGGTTATGGAGATGCCAGGCGGTGTCGCCGTGAAGATCGGTGTTAACAGCTAATAAACAGGGAAAAGCAGTGGGGAAAGAAAAGGCAGGAGGGGGGAAAAAAAAAGTGAACGCAGGGGGAAAAGGGCTGTCTTGATTAGTATTAAAAATGTTTTACATTCTGGAAAATTATAGCTTTGTTGGGGACCTCCTACTAAATTTATTTTTAACTGCTCTATTGAAAATTCTGTACCACTAGTCAACATTATCTCTCAGTTGCTCAGCACAGTGTTTCTTTATTAAAAGAAATAGGCATGAATATTTTTGACTGAAAAATTAATAGCTTTTGAATTCATACACAGCAGGTTTTCTTTTGCAAAGAAGTCCAATATCGCTGCACAGCACTTCTATAACCATTTATTTAGAGTCCAAGTCAAACCTTTGACAGCTAGAGCAGTGTTACAAGCCAACATAAAGAACTCCAAGATGTAAACCTACAATAGGCAGTCTGTGTGAGGTTTGCCATTGTCAAATACATAGATTGTTTGGATTAGTTTATGTAAATGTACTGTTGTATTACCCTTTGGAAAAAAAAAAGATCACATTTGTATATGAAAAGTGGTTTCGTTCACAGGCAGCATTATAAATTCCTTATCCTTTAACTTACATGTTAGAAGTAAAAATTGGTGCCTGACAGGCCTATATTGTGTGGCACTCTGTTGTTGGATTGAAACTGCCTTCTTTTCATTTATTGAAATATAGAAAAATTTATTATAGATACCATCTGATAAATCAGAAATTATTAAAATATGTATAGGTGAAGCATTTGAAAATTAATTATAAAATGTAGAAGTATAGTGTTTTGCATAAATTGTGCTTTCCTAGTGAAAAAAATACACGGGCATTGCATAGACTCTGCTAGACCCTAGCCCTTTTAACTCAGTGGGATAGGACTTTGGTAAAAAGATCTGATGACCATTATTGCAGTGCAAAGTATTCTTTGCATCCAGTAATTAATTTTTTTTGCCAACATAACGAATGCAAGGTGTGTGTTAGGATTAATATATTACGGTACATCGGTGATTTTTAAAGGA